AATGATAGGATGCAACTTCAAGATGCTCCGAAAAAATCCTGATCTTCTTCGGACTTGGCTTCGGACGCGACTGTAGTTTTATAATTATTGTTATTAACGTCGCTTAATATAAAGCAAATGATGTCTTCCCTCAGTCGGCCGGCCCGGGGTCCTCAGACATCCTGAGCTTCACTTTTAAATGCGCCACAGTATTGGCACAGCGTTTCTGTCAGCAGTAAAATGCCCGTAGGAGACTGCTGCCTTGATACAGCATCGTCACTGCAGCGCAGATGACGAGGGACGAATCTTAGAGATTCCTCTTTTGATTTGTAAGAATCGTAACTTGAACTCTACATTTTTTCAAGGTAACGTGTAATTCGGTCTTGGGAAAGTGGCACACTGCTTCACTGTCTCTCACTGCACCGGAGCACTTAACATCTATTTCATTTTATAATGCAGAGCAACAGCCCTGTGCGAGTTGTCGGTTACGTTTCACTCGCGCAGTATCGGAAAATACAGAAACTATTCCCAGGGGGAATCTAAACAGAGGAAGAGCGCTCCTCCTCTATCACTTGTAGTACTGCCCGATTATCGGTTATAATTCCAGTTAGTGAAAAATATGTCGGAATACATTTTTCAGAGCATCTCTAAATTATGAAGTAAAGAAATTTTCATTTCCAAACTAGGTATTTTTACGTATTTCTGCCCGGTTTCATTCGTTCGGGTTGGATTGACAGGACCACACCCAGAGGAGAACAGACTTGGGCCGGCTCTGGAGATGAGCGCCAAACAAAAATTTCCCTAGCAGAAAATTGCCTGAGCTCTTCCGCCAGGTCGGGTTGATTCACACCTGACAAGGAAGCAGCAGAGTGTGCAAAATTATTTTTATGCTTTCCTTATTTCGTGCACTCATATTTTCAAACAGAGCACAATCTGCTGCACTGTGCTAGCATTGGTCCTTCTTGGAGACAAACGAATACATGCAAACCAGAATTGGAATAGTTCTAAAAAAAACTTCACAAAACACACGGCTGTCACAAATTATTAGAGTAATTAAGTCTCTCAATGAGAGTGATTTAGAAACTTTGTCCAAACAAACCTCGTGAACGAAGAAGCATACTATAGAAATTGGATGCCATCAAAGACATGCTGGTGGGTTAATTGGCTTCAGTGCAAGTTCCCCCTGGTGTGTGTGTGTGTGTGTGTGTGTGTGTCCTGTGACGGACTGGCATCCAGTCCAGGGTGTGTCCTGCCTTGCACCTGTTGCTTGCTGGGATAGGCTCCAGCTCCCCCCGCGACCCTGATCAGGAAGCAGTGAGGAGATGGATAGATGGATGACAAGGGTGCTGTTAACACAGATAAATCACTGCGCGCTGCAGTCATGGCCAATCGAGGACCGAGCTACGGCCTGAGCCGCGAGGTGCAGGAGAAGATCGAGCAGAAGTACGACCCTGAGCTGGAGGCCAGGCTGGTGGACTGGATCATAGCGCAGTGCGGCGGGAACGTGGAGCGGCCCCAGCCCGGAAAATCCAGCTTCCAGATCTGGTTAATGGACGGGACAGTGAGTACGGGGCTGAAGGGGGGGTGGGGGATAGTGAAAGTCGTGTGGGTGACAGGGGTTCAGTCCTTGATAGTATGACAGCAGATCTTTCAAGACAAGCCATCAGACACCAAGTGAGCTTCATCTGGACTGAAAACAAGAATGTGCAGTTGCTTCCTACATTATTTTGCTTTGCATGCTAATGCATGATTATTCCCTTTTTATTCCAAAGAACATTTGTCTGCTAGGTGAACCCTTTTGGTCATTATACATAAACCCACATTGACCAGTGTTAACTGCCTAATCTGTTTGAATACAAGTCTGTCAATGGTCACATATACCAGTTCCTTAAAGCCCCCAGGAGATTATGAGAGAGAAGTGAATAGCTGACTTGTGAGATTCAGTGCTTCCTGTTTGGATAAAAAAAGTAAGATGGAAACTCAGAGAGCTTTGTTATTAACAGAACTCATTAATAACAAAACTCATTCTGAACTCCTTCTACCAGTGTTGAGATGAACACATGTATGAACACCTTTACAGGGGGATTCTGATGGAGAGGTGTTCAGTTGTAATCCCACAGATGGAAGCTGCAAAGTGTAAATCTAAGATGATACAGAGCAGGCACAGGCGGAGTCGATTAAATCACTTGCAGCAATTTCACAGAATTGGAATGTTTTCGGATTTAGAAGATGAACTGCACTGAAGAAGGGGCGTCTAACCCTGGTCCTGAACAGACCCCAATTCTGCAGGTATTGGAAGACAACATGAAATCAATAAAGACCTGTAACAACGTGAATTAAGAGATTTAGAGATCATTTGGAACAAAAATCACATTACCTTTCAGCCCTCAAGGAATGGGGCTCCTGAAATTGAACAAATTACTATCTTAATAGATATTAAATAGTGTAATAAGTACAGTAATCTCTTGTTAAATGAGCATTACATTTCCATTACTTCCCATTAATTCCCATAATCTCTGATTGGTCCTCGACCTTAATACACAGCACACAGAACCCCAGTATGAAAACATTAAGATTCCTGGTTAATTATTCAAGCCACGTACTTAATGTCACGAGCCAGTGCATAAACAATAGGTAGGAGAATAATAACATTCCTGCTCATTTACGGTAGAGTAGTTAAATTGTTACTGTCGTTAGCAAATGTGTAAACATTAGAGACTATCCTGTACTATGTGCACTTAATGCCCACAAGCCTTTCTCATTAAAAATTTAAAATGTGATAAAAATAGAAAGTAAATTCCTCACCTGGTTAGCATCTCGGCAATGCTTTGCGAGAGCCCATCTTGTAAGAGTGAAAGTATACAAAATGGAAGAAAAAAAAACAGGAATGACTACATCTCTTATAAAGAAAAAGTCATAAAAGTGGTAGCTGGTACAGCAAGGGATTTCTGTATTTCCTAATAACATCACAATAACAATAACTGGCTTGGGGCTCGTTGTGAAGATACCTGCACTACAGGAAGACGCTTCCACTTCTGCACAGGACGCTGTTGTGCTTGGCAGTGTGTTGGATTAGTCCGTGCCGGAAAGCCCTTTGGAGGGTGACACTGGGGAACACGGGGCTGAGAGAGCTGATGCCTTACTGGCTGTGGCAGCTGGGCCAGAAGAGCCCCTGGGCCAGATGGGAGGGTGTTCGACAACGGTCTCTGGACAGCACAGCAGGACCTTTTCTATTCTGCTCTGTGAGCTTTTTTTTATTTTTTTTTCTGTCCTCGCTCCCCAGGTGCTGTGCAGGCTGATAAACAGCCTCTACCCACGAGGCAAGGAGCCCATCAAGAAGATCCCGGAGACGCAGATGGCCTTCAAGCAGATGGAGAAGATCTCCCAGTTCCTGAAAGCTGCGGAGGCCTATGGTGTGATCACCACAGACATCTTCCAGACCGTGGACCTCTGGGAAGGTAGGATTCCTTCATTACACAGGGTGGTCCACTCAGAAACACAAGAACAGATAAAGAGCAGTGCTTATTTATTTCTGACCTGTGCTTGATACAAAATATAGCTTTAGGCGTATACCGTGAAATCATTGAAAATATTATCCTGTTCCATATAAAGTAAGATAAAATAGTGTATTTAATTCTATGACCTACTGTAGCAATCATAATGAAGACCATGAGGAATATGTTCCCCTACACTATCAGCAAAATGCAATAACAGAAACTCAGACATTGTGTTGGTTTCAGTGTCCTCTCTGTCTACCTCCCTCAGGCAAAGACATGGCTGCAGTACAGAGGACACTCATGGCTCTGGGCAGTGTGGCAGTAACTAAGGATGATGGGTATTATCGCGGAGATCACACCTGGTTTCACAGGTACTGCGTTATCAGATCTCATGGCACCACTGCAACACAAGCAATCCCACCTGTCCATTTCGTCCAGCTGGGTCTTTCAGAGCTAGGTGGCTTCCCGGATCTAAAACGCCACCACAGTTATAGCCCAATTCACAGCTATTAACCACAGCTTCCATTATTCCAAAAATTAGAAAGAGCACTGGGCCTAGTACTGACCCCTGTGGTACCCCAATTACATTGCCCCAGTTTGAGCTTTGACCTCCTTATCTCTACTCTCTGATTCCTCTGAGTCAGTTCTCGAGACGTAGTGGTTGTTTTTGTCGGGGTGGCCAGCCGACACAAATGAAACCTGTGTTTGCATGCCACTTCAACCGTGGGGAAACGATGAACTCTAGCTTGGCTGCCTTGTGCTGCAGTGACCCACTTCAAAACTACCCCCACTCCGCTGCATGATAGCCGGTGGCGTCGGGGCAGTGCTGAGCCCTGTTCTGCGCTTATCGAGCTTTTATAGCATTATAGGAGCAACCTCAGTGAGCCACGTGCCCCGCACAAGCGAGACGCTGACTCACAGCCCCCCCCCTGCTTCCCCACAGGAAGGCCCAGGGGAACCGCAGGGAGTTCTCCGAGGAGCAGCTGCGCCAGGGCCAGAGCCTGATTGGCTTGCAGATGGGCAGCAACCGCGGGGCGTCGCAGTCGGGCATGACGGGATACGGGATGCCGCGCCAAATCATGTGACCTGCCAGGCGTCGGTGTGGGGAGCTCGGAGCTCGGAGAGGCGGGGCGCGGGTCTGTGGCGGCAGAAATAAAAGCCGTGGAGCAGACCATCGGACATGACTGCTGACGTGACTTTAAACCGACAAGCTTCGGGAGTGCATTTTACCCGGACCTGAGAAAGTATTCAATATTGTGCTGTGAACAAAAGGAAGTGTGCTATACAAAACAATGTGCCACAAGATGAGTGTAGAACTCCTTATTTTAATTTATTTTCAGTGTTCTCTGTGTAGCTTCACGGATCTTCAACAATAAACAACCTTTCTGTGCTTTCAGAATATTGCCCTGGCAGAGGAATAGGGTCTCAAATAAATGTTGGATTCATTCTACGTCTGACACAAAGTCTGTTTTTACGTTGTTGAAAATATCCTCGGTTTCAGAATAAAAGAGTTTTTGTTCTTTGAGAAAAAATGTTTAAACCTGTTATTTACCTTTCCAGAGATAAATGCCACATGCAAGATACTTTTAAGATATAAACCTACAGACAGATTAATTAACTTTTTAACGTTGTCCTGGAACTGTCAGTATTCGTTTTGTTTTTACTTTTTTTTCTACTTGCAATACTATGAATGTAGGTACTTAAATATAAAGGATAATAGTCACCTTCAATGTATATACATATTGAATATATAATATGTACATATGATATATATAATCAAATTGAGAACAAAGTTCGTAAGATTTCAGTTCAATCCTAGGAGGAAAACTTTTATTTATATTTCAGGACAATATACTCACCCCTTAAGACTGCACCCTTACAATCCATGTTTTTTCCTGCTTTTTCCTATAAGGAATTACCAGTCAGTTTATGGAGTGGGCAGCATGCCAACTGGAAGAAGGGGCTTTAAATTTGTGACCATGAACACTAGGAGCAGTTGAAGATCATTGTACACAGATCATTGAGTTAAAATGCACAGGAAAACATCGGCTGTGGAGCCTTTCTCACCCGAAGAAGGCTCCACAGCCGGAACGTGGTGTTTTCTTTCTTCTCTTTTCAGCATGGAATAAACCTGTCACTTGTTCCTTTGCAATCTTATTTCTGTCTCACAACACCAGCAAGCCACAATACTCACAGCACTATCAGATGGAAATGTCCTCCAGATGATACACGTGTTTTATGCTGTATGAGAATATCATGTGTCGAGCTGATCTTCGGGGGGAGACAGATCACAGTACATCATTTATGAGGGGCGTCTGTGGGCAGAAAGAGCTCATCTGTTCCTTAAGAGCCCTTCTGACAGTCTAATAGAACCTCGCTCACCCCAGCAGTTACTTCTGTCTCGAGGGATCGCATGCTGGGCTTGCAGGTCAATACTGCCTGTTCACGTTCTCACGTTTTGCCTTTTCCTTCCTTCGTGTTCTTTCTCAATCGCGCCCAATTGGGCGATTCATCAGCATGACGTCTACATTTGCCCGTGGTTTGACTGTGGCCACCTGCCTGTCCTTTCCTTCCGCTCAGTAAAAGAAAAAGAGACGACGAGCTTAGATAAACTTACAAACGTAGGGAATGCGTGTGCGTTGTGTGACCGAAAAATGTATATTTTTAAAAGTTGATGTTTCGGATTCTCGTATATTGCGGTATTCGCAACCTGTGCTGCTACCTAGTGTATAACATTTTACATGATCTGTGTGCGCATGCTTTGTTGGGGGGGGAATTTAACAATGAATCGGAAACATCTGTGCCCAACGCTCCCTATGCCGAATAAGGGCGTATTGTCTCTCTTCTGTCGTGCGTGGAATCGATCTGCTCTAGTTCAGACGTCAGAACGAGAGATTGCTTAATCTCTGAACGGGTGAGCAGATCGATTTGATCATTTTGGAGGGAATTCAGTAGGAGGAGATGGAGAGAAATGTCGGGTGTGAGGGCTAAGAATTCCTTTTATGATTTAAAAAATGTTACGTGTTGTTTAATTTTTACTTGATTTTTTTTTATAATTTTGTTGGAGATACAGTACCACTGTGTACTGCGGCTTTCTAAATTGTCTTGGGAAAAGCCCAGTTGATACGGAAAGCCGTGGAAGACAGGCGAATTCAGCCCGGATATGGGTCTAAAACAACCTGGTGACTATTATTTCACTCCTCCGCACTGCTGTACCTTACGGTCCTGCCTTATAACCGAACGCAGGCAGGATGATTTGTTGCGCTGGTTCTGTCATCGGACCGCAATATAATTAAGCAATTCGCTTCAGGGCCAATCAAAGCCTTAAATCACTTCCCGTTCCGCGATCTGACAGAGAGCTCAGACAAATAACTGTATGGGATGCAAAACGCGAGTGAAAATAATCTAAATTCCGCCTCTAGGTCGGCTGGGAAAAGTTTATTTCGGAAACTGTAGAGATTATCGTAGAGTGCTTTCCTATGCAAAAAGAAAAAAGAAACTTGAACTCTGAAAACTGGAGAAATTCCAAACAAAGAATTGTAGCTGTCCTTCTTGTTCTCTCTGGTTCTGGGATTCGCGCCACCCAGAGAGAAACGCTTCATTAATCCAGTCGGGACATTTCAGAAGCTTGGAGATGGTTTCTAAAACCTCCGGTAAAAAGGTCACTGGGGATTAAGGCTACTTTCCATTAAAGAAATGTTTTTGTTTATGGTGTCAATAAAATTATAAAAGCCCGGTTTATCGATGGGCATAACTGAATCTGATAAGGGTGCATGAATTAGCATTTATCAAACAGCACATCTATCAACGTTTCCCCCATTAAGCTGTCTCTTGAAGTGAACCACCGTTTTCATGCAAGCAGTAAATTGATCCTCCGGGCATACGAATGTCAGCGGGGAGTATTTCCGTCAGCCGTTTTTACAGCATGTAGTTCGTTCAAATCCTGGCAGCCGCGTCTCTCCTGTTCCACCACCATCTTCAAATAAGAAAAACAACGACTGTTTTACTCAGCAGCATCCGAAAAGATAAATGTGTCGGAGCACCGCATCCCACTAGCTAACGCTACAAGTTGACAGGAACCCAGGACATATCCCCCCCAAAAAAAACAACAACAAAACAAACAAAACAAGCAGACGAACAAGAATGAAAGTGATCAAAGAAAACCACGTTAACACAGAAGCGAGATGGCCTCTGTGGTTTGATTAAACGGGTTTTTAATAATAAGAGACCGAAGCGTAAATGATCACGACAGAAATGACCTTTCATTGCCAAAAGACTATTACATGGAGGGAGACAGCCGCAGAAGCAGCACCTAAGATTCTCCTGTGTGAATTACAGCATCATCAGCAGACGAAAAGGTCAACGGCGACACAAGTCGGCATGCAAGCGACACGCGCGAATGCACCCAGGGTCCACGCGTGGACACGCACTTTCAACACGCCCGCACTGGCTTCTGGGCCCGCGATCGCTCTCGCGCCGATCGAGATCCGATTGTCACGTGACAGAGGAATCCCGAGAGCAGAGAGCGCAGCCCTGAAGCCCACGCGTCAGAGTCACGTCAAAGCAGACTTCCTCATGAAAAGCCGAGGGAGAAACAGCTCCGTGAAGTTGCCCCCTCCCCATTCGTTAGTGCTACGTTTGTGCCGGTTTGTGCTGTTGAAAGTAGCGTTTGTGCTGCTTTCGTTTCCGAAATATATAGCCTTGTTTTTTCGGGGTCGCGACTCAGCCCCCCTACAATGTCGTAGGGAAACCAAACCGGTCTCATTTCGTTAGTGCTGCGTTTGTGCAGGTTCGTGCCGTTGAAAGTAATTTCCCAGCTGCTTCCCAGCTTCCCAGAGCCTGTATCGGGCTTCCCAGGGCACGCGTTTGCTTGTACAATACTAATTTCGTGGGTTTCATACAAGTTTAAAAGCATCATGAAGGATCAAAAAAGATCTTCAGAACTTAATATTTTAATACCTTCGCAGTTTTTATTCTCATGGCGCCTCGCTCGATATTACCCTTCGGGCGATTCATTTACTCCAACCTCTGAATATTTAAAGACAAGGTAAAAGGTCCGTGAAGCTGCCCCCCTACAGACAGCACAAACGATTAAACCCACCTCATTCATTAGTGCTACGTTTGTGCCGGTTTGTGTTGTTGAAAGTAGCGTTTGTGCTGCTTTCGTTTCCGAGATATAGCGCCTTGTTTTTCCAGTGATCACGTGACCATGCACGATGACTTTGACCTCCAGTGATCCCGTCTGCCGAGTTCAAGTGCTCTGTTACAGTTTAGCTCGTACCCTTAACATTGTAAAGACAATCAATATCCATAAACCTCAGCCTCCTTAGATGTGAATAATACTAAGACATGAGGCATGCCAACAAGTTAACCATCTATGACATAAACCTGTGGTTGTAATGTATGTAAAATCACCGTGATTGTAAAATCTGCGGTTTTTATTTTCTAAAGCACGGTTTCCTTTCTTTCCCTACCTGACACGCTGTTGGCAAATGCGTAACTGTGGGATACCATCGCTACAAGGCCTCCGCAGCATCATGATAGAGACCCCATGTATAAGGCGTGTATATCGTGGCAGTATATATCGCGACTGGCACCTTGCCTTCATGCCACCCTGGCACCGCTGTCGCACCAAAGGTCTCATATCAGGACATGATATACCCAGGTAGGATGTGTCGCAACATATGAACTCCATGTTGCGACATGGGGGCGGGGCATTTTTGTCGGCGTATTTCATATCGCGATATACGGGCTTCATGTCGCGACATGGAGGCTGGGTATTTTGTCGGGGGTATTTCATATCGCGATTTACGGGCTTCATGTCGCGACATGGAGGCTGGGTATTTTGTCGGGGGTATTTCATATCGCGATATGCGGGCTTCATGTCGCGACATGGGGGCGGGGCATTTTTGCCGGGGGATGTCATATCGCGATATGCGCGCTTCATGTTGCGACATAGGTGCGGGGGTCTTCTGTCATATCGCGATATGTGGACTCCGTGTCACAACATGGGGGCGGGGGCGTTTTGTCGCGGTATGTCATATTGCGATTTGTGGACAGTGATGGGCCAGTCGCAATTGGTATCGCGATGTGATCGTGATGCGCGCACTCCTATCGTGACGTTCTATCGGAGTCGTGAACGCCCTCTGGATGCCATGACATTCTTTGTCTACTATTCAGTTTTGACCTCAGTGCGACTTCTCTTAGATTGATCAGTAATAGGAAACCAATGGATGTGTTACTGTATATCCAGCGTGCTCATACAGCACACATGGTTAACCGGGGCTACAGTATTTGGACATGTTCTCGGAACTTCCGCTGTGGCGCTGTACCCAATCAGAGTGTCGATTTTCACTCTTCACCCAATCGCGGCCCGAGCTGCTCGGGGGGTTTAGCCAATCACGGGTCTGAGAGCTGTTCAAGCCGGCAGCGCCAGGTGGATCGGCTTGGTTACTGTCAATGAGAAGATGTTTTTAAAATGCTTTACTTATTTGCAAAATAACTACATCGGCTTTTTTACACGTCTTTATTGATTCACAATGATCCCGTACTCCTCGAAATAAATACATTTTTCATTTGCGATATAACTGTCTCCGCTGCTTTCTGTAATGAATACATGGTATTTGAACACTTTTAATCGTATTTTTGAGGTAGGGGAAACACCTTCTGCTTTGTACGAAAATGAATAGAAATGTAAAGTGTATGATCAGTTTATTATTATTATCGTGCTTTCAATTTAGTTTTTTATTGTTAAATGATATCGATCTAGAAATGTGATATTTTTTGCGAGTTTAACACCAACGTCACTGTTATATAGAGATTCATTAACATGGCCGATGATAGTGTTGCCTAAGAAATTAGCAAGAATAACGCTTCTTCTAGTTATAATTTTCAAATAGTTTTTTTTTCCCTTAAAAATATGGGAAGAACGTCACCCAAGCTCCTGGCTTTACCTAGATCAGTGGCGGCCCTGCAGCCGTGAAATACACTGAGATCTACGCGAACCTTTCCAAGAGGATGTTGCGTTGACCAGAGGTGTTCTTTGGCTTGGTACAAAGTGAATTTGTGCAGCAAATCAATTCTTACAGGTTATCCTCAGCCCGGAGGCGCAGTGGTTACCATTGCGGACAATTCCGGACCTGGGGTGCTATCTGCGTGGAGTTCGTATCGTCTCCCCGTGTTAGCGTGGGTTTCCTCCCACAGTCTGAACACAGGCGGGTAGGTTAGTTGGCTTCTGGGAAAACTGGCGCTGGTGTGAGTGTGTGTGTGTCTGTGTACTGTGTGTGTGTGTCTGCCCTGCTTTGCGTGCGCCCCATTTTTTGCCGAAGTCAGCTAGCGCCTCCCCGCGACCCTGGTTTGGAAGAAGCGGTTAGAAATCGGATGGTTGGATCTCACATTCCTTTAATCTCCTGAGCTGCAGTGTGCGACCTTGCTCGATAGAGGGCGCGCAAGCGACGATTGGGAATGTGCGACTGTAAGGAAATACCGAATACATCGACCGGGGATTAATGAAATGCGACACATTTTTCCGGTTTTTGAGCAGTATAATGCCGTCCGCTAGTGGCGCTCTCATTTTATACACATTTTTGTAAAAAAAAACTATTTCTTTAATGCCGTGTCGAAAAGCTTATTACTAAGAGAATGCGTGTGGAAGATTTAAGTGACGAGAATACTCCCACATTAAAGCAAATTAAGATTTTTAAAGATCATTAAAACAGCAAAACGCAACACTAGACGAGTTAGTTTATTTAAACATTTGGGAGGATTGGAAAACGTTGCTATTATTTCTTTGTTTGATGTTTTATTTCAGAATTGATTCGACACTACGCTAATATACGATTTCAGCGTGACCTCTCGGCGCGGTTCTACGTCGAACTGCTTCCAATAAAGCTTAGAGGCGGTTCGGCACGTTTTTCAAGATCAAGACCAAGTCCGGCTGCAATTTAAATACAGAATGATACTTCTCAAAAGGGCACGGCATGAAAGTCGAAATACCACAGATGCTCATGATCAGATACCGCCTCCCAGTGTCGGGGTGATGTTCCTCGTACGTAAGGAGTTCCTTTTTCGAAATGATACCTGATGACAGATACAATACAAATTCGCTTTCTCCCTTGTAACCACAAACTCAATATAAACAGTTATTTTACGCAATGGGACGTTTAGTCACAACAGCGGGTTTTTAAAGGAAATATTGATTAAATAATATTATCCGATGAAGTTTGTCTCCCGTTTCAAAATTCCTGGGAACGGAAATGTCGCTATAAATGAATTTATGGCTTCGCGTTAGTTTAGAGGCTGAACACCCCTAAACTTCAAATGCCGAACACGGCAGCTGAAGACGAATCATCTTCAAACGCCGACTGAAACAACGATAAAAAATGTAAGACTGATGAATGGGATTTAGTGTACGATGTAGTAAATTTAGTGTACGATGCACAGGGGGCAACCTGCCTCTCCGCTAAACCCTGCCTTCACATAATCCCCCAAAAGGTCAATACTGGAGCAGCTCTCCAAAAAATCGCAGTTGCCACGAAGAAAACAAACAAACCCCACCAAGAGATCTGTGTAGTCTGGCCGAACCTTTTACTCCGGCGTGGCCGCGGATCCACGACCACAGTCCTGCCCGCGGACTCATCTCCCTCTGGAAGAAGATACAGTTACAGGTGGTTCCTGCCTGTCACAACCTGATACTTTCCGTGTTCGAGCCGGACCGCCAGTCCTTTTCAGAACGGCGCAGGGAGGCCGGTGAGAGGAAGCTTCTTTTTTTTTTTTGCGGGATGGTGTTCTCTGTGATCTCTCCACCTTGTTCGGTTTCCACGCAGGAAGATCCCGCGTCCTCAGAGACTCTGTGCTGAAGCTCCCGCCAAGGCGGCCTCAGGATGGCGACGGAAAGTGGACACATCGGCCGGTCAAGCGCAGGAGACAATCTCAGTGTAAGTGCGGCACCGTGCAGGCCAGTCCGACCGCGCCCCAGGCCCACCAACAGCACGAACCTGGCGAAGTTAAAGTTCTTCTTCGTTTTCCTTTAATGCAAAACAGTTTGAAACCAGTTTCGTGCTAATAGCGCTCAATTCTTCGGGTGATTGTACATGTTGCGATACCCCCGGTGATTACTGTAGATCAGGGTAAAAGTGCCCTGTTGTGCTTTTAAAAAGTTATATAAAAATGGTTTTGATTTTTTAAATATTGTCATAACGTAATTGACGTATTAACCTTAACAGCAATTAAGACTCAGATTGTGATCTTAATATCGTATTTATTTTTATTAATATCGCATTTATTTATGGGGAATTCAGGCAATTTAGACGAGCGGTTTACACATTTAAAGTCCTGTTTTAGGATATTTTTTATGTTACTTTGGGTCCCCCGATGTGATGACCCTATAGTCTGTTCGGCATTGCTGGGGTGTGTTCAAAACATCTTCAACGTGAGCAGCAGCATCTGAACCTGCTAGCAAACGACAAAAAAAAAATCATGCTGGTCATTGTCCCAGCCTTTAAATGCCATTTTGTAATCTGGGCTCTATGCTGTAAAAGCAATCGCTCGGCAACGGGTGTGTCCTGTGTCGCTGTCTATATGGATTCCTTGCTGTGGGTCAGCAGCAACCACGGCGGGCTCCTGCTCGCCCGCCAGTGTCATGGTTTGGGGAGAAAAGTATCTGGAATATCTGGTTACATCATACTGGAGGTGCTGGGCTATAGAAGCGGGGTGGAATGACACCACAATTAATTATTGAGAAAGTTCTCTGTAACGCAATACGCATTGACGCTAAGACGGGCGCTTGACGTAGCGGGGTGTTCGCTGGCCGGTCCGCCCCGCCTCACAAGCGTGCCGGCCCGCCGGGCCCCTTTTACGACCCTGCGTTTGGGCGCTATAGATCACCGACGTGTCTGTGGAAGTGGCGACCGTGGACGCCCGGCTGTCACGCAGGAGACACCGCCGGGGACACGGCAAAGGCAAGCGGAAGTCCAAATCGAAGAGGAAGAGGGCGCGGAAGAAGAGGGCTCTGTGGAACCTGCAGGCTTTGGCTGTGCTGCTCAGCCTGGTGGTGTTTGTCGTCGTGGCCGTCACCTGGACGCTGCTGTGGCTGTTCATCTGTAAGTGGGTGTGGATTTGCATGTGTCTATAATAATAATAATATTATTATTATTGCTTACACTTATATAGCGCTTTTCTGGACACTCTCAAAGCGCTTTACAGGCAATGGGGATCCCCTCCACCACCGCCAGTGTGCGGCCCCACCTGGATGATGCACCAGTCCGCTCCCCACACACCAGCTCTCAGTGGGGAGGAGAGCAGAGTGATGGAGCCAGTTCAGAGATATGCTGCTGTCCCGCGGCGACGCGTCTCTGCGTGCTGCTAAGCGGAGCGGCCGAGAGGCCACCCCCGGCACGCCACGCCACGAAATGAGACTCTCACTGGCCTGAGTGCTGAACTCCACCATACAGTGTGTGACACGGCTGCATCGTTTCGCGCTTCAGCCGTCACACTGTTGGCATGAAACGTCACACAAATGACAGTCGCGCTTCAACTGCCAGTAAGCAATATTACACGGGGCTCATATTTGCACAAGTTGATCCACGGTTTGATTTTGTTACATTGTTACAGTTCTGTAGAACTTGAACGACACTACAAATGTACAACAAAAAACCTCACACTTACGTGAATATTTTGAGGGGGATAAAGGATTTCAGCTTATTGTTCATCCTCAAACACAGCTCCTGTTAGTGTTTCCGCTACCTACTGTAACCTCTGCTGCTAATCGAATTGAAACAGCAGCACGAAAAGACTGAAAAAGATTCTAAAAAGGTTCAGACAATCATCGCATCAGCTGTGCACTTCAGACGAAAACGAAGGCATAGCAGACCCCTCCACCTGTTATCGTATCCTCAGGAGGACTCGATGTAAACAGAGCCGGAGCACCGCCGTCCCTGATCTGTGCTTGTGTTGCAGTTCGCAGAGAGAGCAACAGTGGGGTGTATTTTGCCGGGATGTTCCGAGTGGCCGACATTGAATTTATCCCAGAGTACAGACACACGGATTCGACCGAGTTCATTTCCATGGCTAACACGATTGAACATGTGGTAAGCTACAGAACGCTCTGTTTTGGGGAGAAAGGACATTTTCTTGTGAGCGAGTGGGTTCGGTGTGTGTTACCTTGACTGAGGTCGTTACCTTATTACTTGTTTGTTTTTCCCCTCATGCTGTTTCTACTACCGCGAATCCACGATTAATTGAATAACAATAATAATCATAATAGCACCATTGGCAATAATAGAAGCGACAGTATTAAATGATCCCAATAATAGTATAATTTATACTACAAAACTGTCTTTCCAAAACCCTGTTCATACAGAAAGTTGGAACTGAAATACCAACCAACTGAAAACGCAAGACCATTTTCCTTACTGCATCAATTATATTGTCTCAGTGGCAGTTTTATGCAGATTTCTGAAGCCTCACAATTCTCCATAAATTAAAAATAAAAATCAACTGTTACTTGTGCGCCCTCCGGTGTACACATTTGACATTGCAGCCTGAAGTCAGTCCAGGTTTTGAACATAATTTACAGTACACAATTCATATTATTTAAACTCAGTGATAGATAAATCATTGGAAATTTCACATGTAGATGAAAAATATTGTAGCTATTTAATTTTATTTACAAATACATATGTTTGCCTGTAAAAAGCAGTGAAGAGGTAGGCTATGATTTGAGAAATGGCAGGAATGCAAGTTGTGCATTTTGCTCCGAATTGTTCACAAATTTAAATAAATTATCTTATGTTTCAGAATAAGTTCAAAATAATTTTGTTCTTTAAAACAGTTAAAAAGAAATGTTTTCTAAACACTTTTACCTGAATTCTAATTAAATTAATCAAATCATATAATTCAAATTAATTGATTAATTATCAATCATTAATGTCATTTAATGCCCTAAGAAATTATTTTAGGAATTTGAAGCATCTGTTCAGGTCAACAAACCCAACAGATAGCTGTTTGAAAAACTTGGAACCAGCTGGGAAAATGTAATTATCCTGTTTTGGGATGAACATTACAAACCCAGGTTTTACTCTTGATTAAACGGAGACCAGTTTCTTTCCTTTCTGGACCTGTCAGAGCTGTAGAGCTCTCTGAGAAATGTACAGCTGCTTGAAGATATCAGGTCAGTTTTATTGAAAACACTAATACAGTTTTTCATCTTTTTTTTTTGGGATAGGTGAATAGTGTGTACAAAACATCAACAGTGTCCAAACTGTACCGACAGTCTCTCATATCAGACCTCAGGTAATGGACTCTTCAGCTGCAGTGAAAGAAATGTTATTCGTGATTAAACATTCGCACCCAATAAGAGTGATGAGGAGGGCTGTTAATTACCCCTTAAGCCAAGGATCTCTCTTCCAGATGACTCTTGAAATGAGCCAGTAAATCAGCGTCTTTGAAGTGTGTCAGTCAATAAACAGTTACCCCCTTCAAAGAAGTACGGTATATATTTCTCCACAGGCGTTGGGGACCTGTTAGATGGTTGAATCCCCAGAACCGTTTGGTAAAGTTTCACTATGAAGTGCGACAGTTAAAGAGCCGATCTGCGTTCGTACTGGGGGGCGTTTTGAATGTCGTCACCATCCGAACGCAGAATAAACGCAGAATAAACCGCGGGCCGGTCTGGGAACAGAGGATCCAGGTTTCGGGAAACGGCTGGCAGTCAAGCGGACGAGGGGCGGGGTCTCGCTGGCAGAGCGACGGTGCTGGGGAGCCCCCGCCGCGGTGTTAATCCGAGGTGTGTGCGCTGCTCCCCAGCCACAACAATAAGGGCGGTGTCCTGGTGCACTTCTGGATGGTGTTCGTGGTGCCCGGCGTGAAGAGCAGCGCGGTGTGTGAGGAGTGCGTGGGCGCCATCCTCAGGGACTCCGTGCACACCAGTCTGGTCAACCGCACGTCCGTGGGCTTCCTGTCCGGCCTGCCTGTGGACATCGACTCCATCGTGGTCAACAGTAAGGGCAAAGCCGGCGTTCTGAGCAATGAGGGCGGCAAAGTTAACAGGTCTTCTTGCTCTGCATTTATGACAAACCGTCCTGCTTCATCCATTATATAAACTGCCGTATTTCAGAACCGATGTTTTATATACGTATGTCTTTAACTCCCGAATATGAGGATAGTTAAAAACGCTCTGCCTCTCTCGCTACTAATTGTAGCTAATCCCAGACTCATCCTCCCAGTTCTTGAAAGAAGCCAGGACATCAGCTTTGATGGACTGGCTGAGCAGCTTGTTTCATACTCGCAGCCTTCTGCACGAAGAAGTGCCTGCTGTTCGCAGTTTCTAATGTCTGTAGTTTCGATCTGTGTCTTTAGGTTTGTTTTCCACTTTTTGTTCTGAAAACGTCTGCTGGATTGATCTCTGTCAATGCCTGTAACATCTGTGTCAGGTCCCTGCATAGACCTCTCTATTGAAGAAGTTCAGTTCCTTTAGCCTGGCAGTGCAGGGCATTCCTTTAAGCCTCTGAATGTGCTGATTCCAGAGCAGCAATACAGTATTTTACTGGTGCATTATACAGTTTTAATATAACATCTCTAGACTTTATACTAGAAATCCTAACATACTGTTTGCCTTTCTTGTTTTAAAGATGGAGATGACTTGTCTACATAAACATTAAAAAATCTCATTAGTAACCTCTTCAGGCTTGATGATTAATATTTGTAATTTATGTTTTTTTTCTACCTGCATGCAACACCTTGCACATATCTGCATTAAATATCATCCGCTGTGTTTTTGCCCAATCCTATATTTGCTCTATGTACTTTTGAATTTCATGCATGAACTTGATTAGTCTGCTAACTAAGAGTCCAGATCATATAGAGTAGCAGTACCTAATACTGATCCCTGTGGTACACCACTAATACTTTTGATTGAGAAGCTTAACCTCTGCATTGCTTTATTTCTGTTCTTAATCACTGGGCTGCAGCTGCCTTGAGGTCAGATTACACTGCCATCGAGACAGGTGAGGCAGGGGGTGAGCAGGCTGTGCTGGGCTGTACTGTTTGTGTGGTGCTGGTGTGCATCAGCGGAACACAGACACAGGCAGCTGGCTGGAGCTTCTTTCTGCATGCTGGATATTTTTTCTATTCCCCGTAACTGATGGCGACAGCTTGTGTGTTATTGTTTCTCCATAATAGACACCTTGACTCTGGTGACATGTGACTGGCGAGAGCTTTGAACTTTCAAACCTCTGAATAAACCAATTTACTTGTGTGAGTGTGTTAGCTGCCTAAAATGTGACACATTTCACTTCGGATAGATGCTGTTTTACGTGAGCAAAATACTAATGCTTGACAGTACACAAAGGACAATCTACTAGTTTTTTAGACCAAGCCATTGAATAACTGAAAGGGGGCATTGTTCTAAGTGATATACATGAATAAATACCCATAAAGTTCATTTGGAAAGTTAAACATGTTCTCAATCTTGTACTCTGGCCCACAACGTGGTATTGCATGTTTCCTTCCAGACTCGAAGTGTATAGATGACTTGTACGCAAGCCAGCCTGGTGTGAAGATCTCCCTAAGTGTCTCCTCTTTCTGGGGAAGGTCCAGCTGTCACATGAAGCTCACGGCAGTGCTGGGCTCCCTCATTCGGCTGACCGTCCACTCCTTTCAGATCGAGGCCAGCGACTGCGTCACGGACTCGCTCACTGTATACGACTCCCTCGTGCCCATCAGGAGCAAAGCCTTGTATAAGTACGCCCACAGCCGCATCAATAATCACTACAGGGAGGGCAGGCAAATAAGCGTTGTTATGTCTGTGGTCTCCAGCTGATTCAAGCACAACAGTTTATGTCCAATAATCTCATCATTGTTGAAGATTGAGCGCTTTTAGAAATCGCTGTATCTGCTATTTCCTTAAACTTTATATTTTCATTCACATGAACAAATATGACATTATTAATCCTAACAAATGTATACTTGCCATTTAGCTCCTGTTCTGCCGTGCACAGCCGCACAGCTGTACGTGGGTAAAGGCTCTTGGGAAGTCTTTGATCCTGAAAAAACAGCCAATACTCAGAGCTCAGTGTGTAGTATTCAAGGCTTCTAGTTCTCTCATATTCTACAGTAGTGTGACTTACAACAGTGAGATTTGGACTGAGAGGAGAGACGTACATAGTTCTGGCTGAGAGGGGTGGCACTGTGAGAGTGCTTGTTAAATTGTTTCTTGTCCCCGTCACATGGTTTTCCAGGTTTTGTCAGCCTCCGAATGCGGCCATCTCCCTGGTTTCCACTGGGAATGTGATGCTCCTGGCTTTCAGGCTGGGGCAAGGAAGCAAGAGTTTCCGCGGACACTATGAGGCCATTTCTGAGGAAAGTACGTTGCCGGTGCCATCTCTCTCTAAGCTCTGCTGGAAAGAGGGGCGATTCTGTATGGGTGTGTTTGAATAGCAGGCCTCAGGCTGTCTTTGTTCCTCCTCCAGGGTGCAGCAGCGCAGACGACGTACAGGACTTGGCTGGCTCTCGGGGCAAAATCACAAGCCCTTACTATCCCAGCCTCTTTCCTCCAGAGTGTAGCTGCACCTGGGCGTTTCAGGTATCAAGGCTTTATGGAGCAGTTTGTTTGCTAAATATACAGCTGCATTTCTCAGTGAAAACCCATTATCTGGGTCAAGATGATAAGGTTTTGTAAACACGCACAAAGATTTTCATATCTTGAAGGCTCCGAGTTGTTATTCTTTTCCCCTCTCTTTCATAACTTTAAAATGTTTGTCCTGGCGCTTGAGCACAAGGATTTAACAAATATACTATCAAGCCACTTGTTCTCCTCAACACAGGCTCCGATCCAGGGGCTCGGCATCGCGCTGAGGTTTGAGAACTACCTGTTGAAGGAGAAGGATTTAAAAGGCTGTGAGCACGGCTGGTGGAAAATTAATGAAATAATGTGAGTGTTTTTATCAGATTATACTTAATACATTGTTATCAGTTGCTTTAGAGCACACTCATTCAGTGTAAATGCACACTCTGCTTGTGCTTCACAGTAATGAAGGAGAAATGTGTCTGTAACTGGAGCATATAAATTAGAACCTTGAAATGACGTTTGAGAGGATAAAAAGTTGTGAAGTAAGAAACCGAAAATGTCTGAGAATGTGGCACATTTGCTTTGCAGGGTAATATGCATATGTGTCTGATCTGTCCATTCTTTAATCGGTGAGCTCACCTGGTGTTTGTCCTCTGGAAATGAGAGACAAGACATCGGTGTCCGGTGTGTGCTGGCTTGAACAGTTATCAGCTCTGAGCCAGGACAGAACCCGGATCTTTATTGTTATGTGACAGTGTTACAGACAGATTACCATCTCTGGTACTCTGGATGACACAGATCTAATGAAAAGCCTCGTTAAAGATGAAACCCCTTAAACGTTTTACACAGTGCATTATTTGGCACACTTTACTTCTGTTTCTCTTTTCCTAAGGGGAGGATGGGTGCTATTTACATTTTTAGACTTGAAATGCATGCCCTTTATAAAGCCCATTCTTTTGCAGAAACAGGTCAGAATTAAAATCGGAATTCTCAGTATTTCCAGTTTAGCGTGTGCAGGGTGTTTTCTGTTCACATTTAATAATTTGGAAACTGGAAAACCACTCTAAAGGGTTGATTTACTTTAACCTCATTTGGAGTGGAGGGAGAGGTACAGTAAGTGTGTGAACATGTGTGTTCTGTGCTTCCAAATTTATATATTGAACAAAGAACATTTTTTTAAAGAATCATGTGTTTCCCGTTCTCCCCTGGTAAGATGAATCCAACTATAACCACATTCCACAGTAGACAAGCAGTGATAGTCAGTGGCAGTCAGCCAAGCCAAAGGGTTATTCAAACAATTACCTTGGCCCTCCAGCTTCTCAGTAATACTTTTGTCACTGAGAATGTCCGCTTCTTGATAAAAATGTGTGAGACATGGTAATAAAGCCGGATCAGAAGAGATAAGAAGACTGACCGATCTACATTTCCAGGTATATACAAGTCTTTCATTTGACCATGACATTCCAGGCCACCACAATGAAGTATTCACATGCCCAGGTGATGTGGACAGATTCTCTCCAGGTTAGCGTAATGGATCCCTTCTCCCTTGTCAGAGATAAGGGAGATTAGCCTGGTGCCCTTCGAGATGCGCCGCGAGAGTGACTGACAGATCGACGGTCTGTGTGGAGGCCCACAAGTCTGTCAGCACTTTTCCATCATCTGCCTCTCGTGAAGTGGGGGCGCTGAAAGAGGCGAGACCCCACTGCTGCTCGGCTGGAGAAAACCGTAAACCTTTTTTCTGAGCACAGGACGAGTGCAGAACGTCAAAAAAAACCCAAAGTAGCTTATGCGTTTCTGCTTATGACCGTGCCCCTGGCTTATTTCTGACACGTTTCCCTGCTTCTTTAGATACTGCGGGAGCTATATCGATCACCCGACTGTGTTCCGCGCCGCCAACCAGAGGACGGAAATCGAGTTCCGCTGCAGCTCAAAGTTTTCAGACCCTCCTTTCACAGCTGAATACGGCAGCTATAACATCAGCCAGCGTAAGAACACGCCCTAGGAAAAAAAACCAAAACGTAAAACATAAAGTCCTTACTGTGGCATTGTGGTGCAGTGTTCAGCGTTGCTGTGTGTGTTCTCCATGTTTACTTGGATCTCCTCCAGGTGGTTTAGTTTCCTCCCCCAGTCCAGAGACATGCTGGTGGGTTAGTGGCCTTCTGGGAAGATTGGAAGTGTGTGTGCGTGTGTGTGTGTGCCCTGTGATAGACCGATGTCCTTCCCAGGGTGAATCCTGCCTTGGGCCCATTGCTTGCTGGGATAGGCTCTGGCTCCCCCATACCCCTGCTTTGGAAGAAGCGGTTTGAAAATAAGGGGGGGAGACAGATGTGTACCCCCAATGCAAGAATTGTTTAAGGACTTCAAGATCTCAAAGAATTTTGACAGTTGGGTTTTGTAATCAAGCCGGCTGTATCTTTGCGCGGTCCTTGGATAATTCATCCCCAAATCCCGCGTCTGTAACAAACGCGCCGCAAGTAACTCGCGTTTTTCACGGCCTCTGTTGTAGCACACATTGACAGCTGCGCCCCCTGTGTTTGTCCCCCACCCCCCAGCCTGCCCTAGAGGGTACTTCCTGTGCTCCAGCGGCCTGTGTGTGGAGAGCTGGCGCCGCTGTGATGGCCTGGACGACTGCTTCGACGAGAGCGACGAGCTCTTCTGCCGTGCGTACCACCGCGGAGACTCTGTCTCATCCCCTAAAACTGTGTCAGACCCCCCAAAAACCCCGCAGAAGGACCAAAACTGCTGGTTTAGAAAGCCGTTATGCTTTTTTTTCCCCTTTGTGTCCGAGTGCCCTATGGAGAAGAGTGCAGTTTGTGTTTTGCGAAAGTTTCTCAATGTTTCAAAGCAAAATCCATCGAGTAACGAGAGAGAGCAATCTTCCACCCTTCAGTGATAACCCCACTCCCTAACACACGTAGGAACCGCCTGCCAAGGGACCCCCCCCAAGTTAAGGGGGGGTCACATTACCAAACAATACCAGCTGGCCCGTGGCTGCGTTTCAGAACCGCGGGGGGGAGGGGAAAAATCACTTGATCTGCAGTTTTAGTTAGCGGGAGCTGCTAACAGATGGGTTTTTCTTTCTGGACCCTGTCCCTGAAAAAGGCATGACATGTCAACGGCCAGGAATCCTGGCGTTTCTAACGACAGTCGGTCTCTTTCAGCTAATCCGCCCAAAGACTGCGATGGCGCCGCCCAGCGCCACCCTTCCTTCGCCTGCAATGGCGTGAGGGACTGCGAGGATGGAGCGGACGAGGCGAACTGCACTCAGGGTAATCAGGAGTTTAAAGGTATTCCTGTATGCAGTGGCTCATCAGCTCTAACTGAATGGGATCGTTCTCTTTTTGTGTCGCCAACCCTTCCTACAGCGGCCAGGACAGTACACTTCACCGCAGTTTTTCTTTTTCCCCACATTACAATAGCTGTGATATTGCAGTAGCTCCCGCCATTCCCGTGCTGTTCTAAACCGATTTCTCCTCCTTGCATTGAAGTAAAACCCCGTGCAGGACCGGGGCGGTTATCGTGCCATTTTCAGCAGCGCACGACAATCGCCCCGGTTCTGAACTGTTGCAGAAGTCCCGTGCAGTGACGTCACCTACAAGTGCGGCAGCGGCGCGTGCATCCGCAAGAGGAACGCGAACTGTGACGGAAGCCCGGACTGCGCGGACGGAAGTGACGAAAGATTTTGCGGTGAGCGCGTACGAGTTTAGCAGCCTCAGATTGACGCACCATCTAGCGGAGATAGAAAAACAGGCGCGGGGTCTTTTTTTTTTTATAATTCCAAAGGGCTTGCCAAACGGTAAAACTACATGTCAGCTCTGCCCTTTTGGGGAGCTTCGGGTAATTGATTAAAAAAATGTACCAAATTACTGTAAATAACACCATCGAAAGTGCCGACACTCCTGAGCCAAGACAGCACGAATCCTGCCTCCTGTCCTGGAATGTGCAAGACACAGGAGTCTACAGTTGCTGGCTTTGTTGTTTTTCTGATCTTGGATTGATTGACATCAAACACACCGACTTAATTGGGGTCCTTGCTTACAGTAATTTTCTGCAATTTTGCCTTATGGACATTCATGTTCACAGAGAGTTTTCACATAGGCCTATGCAGCTGTGATCGCTGAAGCTAAAATGATTATTAATTGCCTACCGTGGAGTATCCAGTGTGTTATGAATTGAGCTTATTATTACCCAACAGAAGTTGCCGGACCTCTTGTCTGTGTGTGACTCAGCCCTTCTGGGACTGAGCTGGGTCCATGGGCACCTGGGTCTCTCAAAACTGACATGTGAAACACTGAAAAGTGGCCATTCAAATGTTAGAATGCATGATCATTTATTAGAAAATAATACCCGGCGAGAATGAGTTCATTTTGAATTCGTTTAATAATAATGCCATCCAGTACTTTTAAAGTTAGTTGATTGTCACAAATGGATAGATCTCAGAACAAACAAACTGGGTTTCATCATTCACCAGTGGTCTCCTATAGTTGCCACTGTGTCCAGTGGAGCTCC